AATTTACTGATTTTATAATTTTACCTCTATAATATATTATTTAGAGGAACCAAAGTCTGGAAGTGCTGAATATGGCAGGTGGGACCAATAAAGTAGTATGGTGATGTCATGGCTCTTGGTTTCCATGCTACCACAAGTAAGGAAGACATTTATGTGGGCTGAAACAACTTGTGAAATATGAGAACAAGCGAAATCTACCTATTCAGAGCAGAGGCACTATGCAAAGATATAACAATTACAAGCTGAATCCGCCACCTGCAATAAGGGGGAGAGGAGTCTCTCGGTGTACTACTCAAATCTGACATCAATATGGAAGGAACTAGATCATTATCAAAATGTGAATTGGAAGTATGATGAAGATGCAAAGACCTATAAGTCACTTGTCTCCCAACAACGAGTAATTGCTTTTCTTTTGGGCTAAATCCTACATATGAGTCCATGAGGGTACAAATCTTAGGAAGTAAGAACTTACCTTTAGTTCAGGAAGTTTATGCCTTAGTATCTAAAGAGAGTAGAAGAAGTGTGATGAATTGTACAGAGGGGGAGATGGTTGCACTAGCAGTCCGAGGAGGTACAAATTCAAATGTAAAAGGCCCTTTCAAGAAGGGCGATTCACATAAGAGAGTAGATGACAAAGACAAGTTTTGGTACACCCACAGTCAGAAGTCCAAGCACACTAGAGACACATGTTGGGAACTCCATGGCAAGCCTAAATGGGCTCAAGAATTGAGCAAGAAGCCAACCCAGCAGAGTCAGAAAAAATATAACTCAGCAAATGTGGCATCTCAAGAGACTAGTCCCATGGTACCCTCGGAGCGACACTCTGGTTCTAACCCCAAGGAAAAAATTATCAACTCCTTCCGTGACCACTTGGAATTATATAGCAGGACACTTCGCCAAATGGATTATGACCATACTCTTTCTACCTCCTTTGCGCCTACATTAGGTAACACCATCATTGCTTTCCATGTGTCATCGCATACATCTGATTTCCCTTGGATAATTGACTCTAGAGCCTCAAACCACATCACTGGTAAATCAACTTTATTTCAGGTATATAACCTCCTCTCTCGGAGAGATAAGGTGAGACAAGTTGATGGATCATTCTCCACCATAACCGGTCAAGGAACCATCTCCCTTCCTTTCGGTCTTACCCTCTCTAATGTGTTGCATGTTCCTAAATTACCTATCAATTTACTTTCCATTAGCAGTATTACTCACTCCTTGAATTGTTCAATCACCTTCTTTCCTTCTTTGTGTGTGTTTCAATATTTGGCCTCAAGAAAGGCGATTGATAGAGGAAGCATGGTGGATGGTCTCTATGTGATAGAGAACAAAGCCGGTCTTGTGGCTACAGAGTCCTTAAGTTTATATGTGAGAGTCATGCCTACTTATGGCATAGTCATCTTGGTCATCTTTCATTCAAGTCTTTAAAACTTATGTTTCTTGAGTTATTTAAATATTTGTCAGTTGGTGGGTTACAATGTCAGACATGTCAATTGAGCAAACATTGTAGAAATCCATTTCCTTTAAAAAATAAAAGATATGAATTTCCGTTTCATAATGTCTATGCTGATGTTTGGGGCCCTATTACTCTACCTTCTAAGACTGGATATAAGTATTTCATTACTTTGATTGATGACTACTCTAGATATACATGGGTTTATCCTAAGCGTTCTAGAGATGAAGTGTCAAAGATTGTGAAAGATTTTCAACACATGATTTTTACTCAATTCCAAACAGAGATTCATATTTTCCAGTCGAATAATGCAAAGGAGTACTTCCATAGTGATCTGACGGAGTTCTTTGCTTCGTGTGGATCTCTTCACCGGAGCTCTTGTGTTAGGACACCCCAACAAAACAATGTTGCCGAAAGGAAAAATCGTCATCTTGTCGAAGTAGCTCGTGATTTATTATTCCATATGAATGTTCCGAAACGCTTTTGGATGGATGTTATGTCTGATGCACATCTCATCAACTGTATGCCATCTCGGTTACTAGAGTACAAGGCCCCACATCAACTTTTGTTTCCTACGACTCCCCTGTCCCCTATTCCAATGCGTGTCTTTGGATGCCATTGCTTTGTTCATGACTTGTCCCCTTCTCGTGGTAAGCTCGATTCTCGTGCCATTCCTTGTGTTTTTTGGTTACCCTTTATCTCAAAAGGGTTACCATTGCTATGACCCTGCCTCATGCAAGTACTATGTCTCCATGGATGTATCATTCTTTGAGAGTCGGCCTTTTTTCTCGGTTTCTCCTCAGGGGGAGAGTAGGGTTGAGGAGAAACACACCCAGACTTAGACTCAAATACTTCCTATTCCTGATCCTCCTCCATTTCATGTCTTCTTTCGCCTCCATAAGAGCCAATAGAGTTCAAAAGTCGTGAAACCTAAAACTATGCAACCAATATCATCAGATTCTCTAGAGACAGATCCTCCTCATCAGCCAAATACATTTATTCTCGTTGATATGTCTGAACCTCTTGATATTGATTCCCCTGTTATTAATGATCTTGATGTTCCTGTTGCTAAGAGAAAGGGCGTTTGATCTTGTACTACTAATCATCCTATCTTTTTGTGTCCTATCATCATAATTCACCTTCATATCATGTGTTCCTTTCCTCCATTGACAGTGTTTCTCTTCCTAAGAATGTGGTAGAAGCTTTAGTGGGTGTTCACAATGAAACATACGGTTGATGGTACGATAGAAAGGTACAAAGCCATATTAGCGGCCAAAAGGTTTACACGAGTATATGGAGTAAACTATGCAAAGACCTTTGCTTCAGTAGCCAAGATGAATTCTATCAAAATCCTCCTTTCACTAGTAGCCAATCTTGTTAGTAAGCCAGTCAACTTTGCGTCGAGTGTTCACAAAAATGACACTCTGTGTGATGGCCAAAGTCTCATACAAATCACATAATGTCTCAAGTTTCCAGTCCTCCTTTTCAACGTTGACATAAAATTGCTTAATACCCTCAAGAGTGAGCTCATCACGTTTCACCAAAATCCTTATAGGCTTGTTCATGAACTTCCTCGTGATCTCAAGGGCCTCAGGTGGCATTGTAGCAGAAAAAACCCCAACTTGAACTTTTGATGGCAGGTATACCTTGGTTTTCAAAACCAGATTGGACCGGATGGTCAGATTGGAAAAACCAGGAACCGGTATACTATGGTTTTCAAAACCAGACCAGACTGGATAGTCGGATTGGAAAAGCTGGGTACCAGTCAGGTGATCGGTTCCATTTTTCTCCAAAACCGGATATTTACAAAAAAAAAACATTGATTTGGTCAGCAAATCATTGACCCGGGCAGTTGAACCATTTGAACCATTCAACGGTTTTGACCTTTATTTATTTTATTTATTTTTTTTGTCAGAACGGAACTAAACCCCTGATCAGTTCGTTCTCCGGGGGTTTTAAAAACCTTGCTGTAAACTGTTCAACTACAAACCCAAGCATACATGATTGACATCCTCAAGTTGCCAAGAAGTAGATGTTTACAATATGGCTAAGAGTTTCCATGGAGGAGAGATACCTTCGATCTAACAAACATTTGAGAATAGCCTCGACATCATGTTCAACCTATCGACATTAGATATTGGTCCATGAACATTTTACAATTTTTGGGCTTGTGCTTTAGGCTAAGCCCATTCAAATTTTGGCAAAAGATAAGCCCGAGACGACTCATGAAGAAGTATAGTTGACATTGTCATTTGAGCATCCAATTTGATTCATTCTCTAAGCCATTGTTTCCACCTCAGCAATTATGCATAAACAAGGCCTGTAATTTTTAGTGTAGGCATTCTCTTTCTTAATTACTATTTTAATGGTCAAAACTCCGCATCTTTTTTGTTGGCACAGAGTGACCACAAGTCACATTCTTACACTTGTCAACCCAAGATTTTACTATTACACCAAGTAATGCCCTTACAAATGTAAGTGTTAGAAAAAAAGTTAGACACTGTCCGTTTGCTCTAATGTCTTAGTCTGAGAGTACAATAATTACATTAGGGTATATTGATATTGGTGAACTTTTTTTTTTTCATTTGAATTTTGAATGTAGAGAATGCTGTTCTAAATTATGAATTTTGAAATTTGTCAAATATCTATTTTAACATCATATATTAGAATTTTTATTTGTGTTTTGAGGTATCATTGGAAAACAAAAATGTTGTAAGATTCCTCTTTAAGAAATAAAAGATAATAGGAAACGAACCATCACCTGACCAAGATTCCAGGTCCGGCTTAGTCAAGACCTACTAGACGGTAAAAAACCATTGACTTGGTCAAGAACCATTCAACCTAGGTGGTTCAATCGTTGATTCATTCGACCCGGTGATCGGGTCGCAAGTTGCATATTCAATGCATACAAACTTTCGGAGACCATAACTTTGCACTTTGATGTTTCTGATTAGGGTGTTTTTTTGGGTGACTTTTCGAGATCTATGCGTCCCAATATTTTTGCTAAAAAAAACTTTTTTTTGGCCTCAAATTGCATTTTTAATATTTTTTTATAAATAAAAATTAAAAAACTGAATTAAAAAATATGAAGTAAATATAAAATAATACATGTAACATATTTATATATCATTTATTACTAATATATATATATATATATATATGCAATAATATGATATGATCTGAACCGTTCGATTCAACCGGTCAAACCGATAACCTACGACCGGAGGAAAAAACGGTTCGACATCCGAGTCGGTTTTTAAAACATTGCTTGGAACATCGACGGCTAAAGTAAACGAGCTTATTTGAATAAGTTTTGTAGTATTTCTCCTTCACGGGATCCAAAATAAATCGGATCGTACCACGATTGATTTGGCTTTAAGTTGTAACCCGCATCCGATTGATCTACATCCGGGAGCCGGATCTATCCGAATAATGATGTTGCCGATCCAACCGTAGCCATATATATCGACACACACTCTTCTTTCCCAATCTCTTCCTCTTTCTCTCTCTCCATCTCCACTAGCGTTGCGTTCCTTAACTCCACGGCGGGGATCCGAGGAGTTGGGAAACCCTAACCCTAAAAAGGCAGAAACGATATTGCTCTTGCGTTTCATCGTCTTCTTTCATAACCAGTGATCATCGGCTATCTTCATCATTCAGGTGCTTTTTTTTTTTCTAATCAATTTGTGCTTGTTCTCTGTTTCATCTGCACTCGATCTTTGTTTGAATCAGTGCCTGTATATAATCTCGTGGTTTAAAGGCGTTCTGTATTGATCTTTCTGTTGTTTTCAGTGGTATAACTTAACTAATTCTAATCATTACGATAGATAATATTTTTATCATTACGGTGGAGATATATCTTGGTTGAGATGGATCTATGTGCATGCTTGCTGGTTCGAGATTATTCGTTTCATGGCTGGAATGTGGAGGTGGTCCGTTGGTTTTGAGTGGGAAGATTTTTATATTTGCATTCATCGTTGGCATTCTTTTAGTTTAATTTAGGGTTTAGTCGTTATACTGGATTGATTTGAAGGATTAAATGTACAGCTTTGGGTCTGGATAATTTAAGATTTTATGATCGGATTTGATCCCGTAACATTTTTGAATTTCGTAAAATGTATCCTGGTTTTTATTGGAAATTCAGCCAAAGTGAAGCTGTGGTTAGTTCTGGTAGAAGTCGATCCGTCTAAGAAATATTTTCAGCACTTTTTGATGATGTTATTAATTCTCCCGAAAGTTTTTTTTTCTTTCTTTCTTTCTTCTTTCTCGAACGTTTCTCATGTAATAACGTAGTATAGTTTTTTCTCGATTAGAATAGCTGCCTGCTCATTTAAATATCGATATATTTTTCTTTCATCCTTGTTTATGGATGCGCTGTTCGATCATTAAAACTGTTTGATGGTATGCCTATTGAGATGCGGGAGATGGTAGTAGGGGGTTTTGAAGATTGATTTTACCACGCAGGCATGTATTTTCTGTAAAATTTCCTCCTGTCATAAGTATGGCTAATTGAGGCGGTGTTCGGTTCCGTGTTCATCTCGTGGATGGACCGTTTCGGTCCGGTCCACGGGATGAGCTCCCTATTCGGTTGGCTGTGGACGGGACCAGTCCATGCTATATTGTGGACTGGCCCCATCCACACCCCAATTTAGCGGCAACGGAAAATTCTCGTGTTAGGGTCCATCCAGTGTTTACTTTGATCCCTTTCTCACACTCTCCCTGAAACCCTATTGCTTTTGCTTCACATTTTACCGTTGGAGGTCTCCACCGCCCGTCGAAGCTCTCCTTCGCTGCAGCTCTCCATCGCCAAATCTCTCTTCCGCCGTAGCTCTCCTCCACCAGTCCACTTGCCAAGGCTCGATCTTGTTTAAATATTATTTTTAATATTTTTATCAATAAACTATTAATTAGTTTACTTAATTTTTTAATTTTTGATGTTTTTATTAATAAATTAATATTTTCAAATATTTAAAAAATATATATTTTTAATTATTGTTTTTTGAAAATTAATATTAATTTATTAATGCCTTTTTTAATATATTTATCATATAAAATGCAAAAATTAGATGTTTATGATTAACTGTGTAGATCATTCATAAACTGTATATAAGATACATGGAATCAAAAAGTGTGGTGTGGACTGGTCCACACCATGTCTATAGAATGCCACTGTGGGTGTGGACTGGTCCAGTCCACACAATCTGTCCATAATTCAGAACAGATGTGGACTGTGGTGTGATGTGGATTGGTCCCTACCACAGGGTGTGGTGTGGACCAGTCCACACCCACCAGTTTCCCATCCACACTACAGAACACCCCTTTTAACCCTTGGTGTTGGACCACAATGTTAGTGTTGTATGTTCTCTTTCTAATGAATCAAAATACTTTGATAGGTTAAACTTTGTGTTATTCACCTACCAGTTCCACAAGCTGTTTTGGAAGTTTCTTAAAAAGGCATACACATGTAAATAAGTTTGCAATACCATTGTGCATTTATACGGATTTATCTTTGATGAGGTAGGAATCTACAAATCAAAATTTGTTTGGGAAGGGGGTTGATTTCATATTAATTGTTGAATTACAGATTCCTCCTTTCCAAGACATTCCATTGATTCTGTCCATATTTTCTTTTTGGGTCATACTATCTAAAATCAGCTCCTACGTATTTGATATGACTGTTTAACTTAGTTGTGGCATTGACTAGGTACTTGCCTAGGTGTCACTAAGGCAACAAGGCAACCTCAGTTAGGTGCCTCCCCTGAACACCATTGCTATATAAAATAAGTGCCTGTCTAGGTAACGAAAATCACAAGGTAGCCATTTATTTGTAATATTATTATTACAACTATATGCCATTCTGTTAAGTGGTGTTGCATCGACACCCCACCTTTGGAGGGGGATTTGGTAGTTGGCTTGTGTTCATGAGTCCACTCATGTCCAACTCTCCAAAATATGTGTTAAGAGTTGTCTACAATGTGAATCAAGAGGATTTGTTACGATACCTTTGTGATGGCTGTCCAAAATAACAATTACTCACTTTAAATGCATCTATGCAACAGAATTCCGACCATTTAAGCTAAAAAATTTGGGGCTCTGTTATTATTATTTTCCCAATTTACACACGACTTGTGACCCATTGTTTATTGGATCTGTTCCAGTCTTTTCCAATTAACATTAAAATTAGAAAACAATGAAAAATAACAAATGTGTCTATGTGGCAAATAGGCAAAAGCTGCGACTTTTATATTGTAATTTAACTATTTAAGTTGTTATGTTTATATTGTTCTTTGAGTAATAATATAAAAAAAACATAATATTTAACATATATAAGTAAATATTATTTATAAGATAATGTCCATGTGGGAGGAAAGAAATCAATGAACTTTCCGTGAAAAAGAAAAGAACAAAGAAGCCATCATTGATTTAATCTATGTTAGGGTGGTACATTGGGTCAAGTCTATGAAGCTATTTGAAGGATTTTCAGCAGGAGATACCATTAGAAATTAGAAAGAAGTAGCCTGGTCCGTTCGGTTGATTAATTCCCCTGCTCCAACTTGGACTCCTCCAACTTTGGGGTTCACTAAATTGAATTTTGATGGCAGCAGCTAAGGAAACCCAGGCCATTCAGGTATAGGTGGAGTGTTCAGGGACGAAGAAGGTCGAATTATGGCCATGTTTTCAGGCCCTATAGGTTGGGGGGATTCTCTGAGAGCTGAAATTTTAGCATATTAGAAGGAATAAAAAGAACCAAACAGCTGAATTTTAGGAAATTGCTGGTGGAGGGCGACTCTAGATTGGCTTATTAACTGGCTGCAGAAGGAAGATGTTAGTTTGTGGAAGTCCTCGAATGAAAAAAAGAAAATTAACCAGCTCACTCAAGATATGCAAATTCAGTTTCAGTGGTCTAAGAGGAGTGCCAATTCTTTCGCAGACTCTTTAGCTAAACAAGGGGTGGGAAGAGCTAGTTTCTTTTGGGCTGTGTTGTAATTTGATGTTTACTCTTAGGGGTGGGGTAAGAGATTTTACCCCCCCTTCCTGTTGTATCTTCTGCCATCTCCTTTTATTAATAAAAGTTTCTGTTATTGATCCAAAAAAAATAGATACATGTCCATGAATCCTACATTTTTAGGTTAATTGAGGCAGATTCCCAGACGACCAGACATGTCAGATTCCGATTCCCATTCATGCAATACTGGTGTCAAATTGTCAATGCATCCTACCATATATTATGCATATTATTCATTCTTGGTTAAAGGATTTTACCATAACAACATGAAAGACCCAAGGATTTAAGGAGACAAAAAAGAAAAAAAAGGATAAAAAGGTTTTTTTCCTATAGACTCTCTCTCTCTCACCCACAAACACAAATTAAATAGAAAAGAGCTCTCCCTCTTGTTCTTTTTTCCTTTTCATTACTTGCTCTTTTAAAAATTTTTATTAGTATAAAATTGTGGTCTTTAACTTTGCTAATAAATTTTGTCATGGCCTCCACTGTTGCCTAGGTTACTAGCACTCCACTGAACCTAGAATCACCTAGACTTTTTAATGACTATGGTATTTAATGTTCATTATCTATTAACAAATATGTGCAAAAAAAGAAATTAAAATTAGAAGTTATCACATGCTTGATAAGTTAGTGGAACTATGCTTGATGGAGTTTTATTCCTTGTTTTATCCAGATGCACTTTCCCTGCTTGTTTTGTTTAGGCACATTTGTAACTTTTCCTAATATTCAAGTTTATAGAGAACCTAGACTGGATTTTAGAACAATATATGGAATCATCATCATCCAAGCCTTCTCCCAACTATATGGGGTTGGCTAATGATCATCAGAGTTTGGCAAAAGGTTAGTGCTGGCTGCCAACCCGACACAACTCTCCTTTATGCAGGCTTGGGACCAGCTGTGCAAGACAAACTCACATCATCATCATCATCAACATCATCATCAACATCAACATCATCAACATCATCCAGTGTATGGAATGATGTATCAAATATTTTTTTCTGTACTATTGATGTTATTGTCTGTTACAAATAATAAATGTTGAAAACTGTTCAAACATTAATGATTTCCATTATTTTACTAGAAAGTTAAAATTCTTTCTTAAGAGTATCTACTTATAGAGTTGTCTTCCTTATTTTATCCAGATGCACTTTCTTGCTTGTTTTATTTAGGGACGTTCCTAATGTTCAAGTTTATAACATGTCATTGGGAACTTAGACGAGTTTTTGGAACAAAATATGAAATGATGGATTAAATCTTCTTTCTGTATTATTGTTGGTATTAGCTTTTAAAATAACAAGTGTGGAAAACTGTTCAAATATTAAAGATTTCCATTATATTATTAGAAAGTGAAGTTCTTTCCTTGAGTATCTTTTTATGGGTTAAATTTTGCAGTCATGGCGGGATTGGCACCTGAAGGTTCACAATTTGATGCGCGCCAGTATGATGCCAAAATGAGTGAGCTGTAAGTTCTCTAATTCCTCCCCACTACAAGGGACGCAAATAGTTAAATGCAAATTTATATATGCTTGTAACTTCTTAATAATGATTATTGATTGGATGAATGGATTGGAGCAGACTTACGGCAGATGGACAAGATTTCTTTACATCATATGATGAGGTCTATGAAAGTTTTGATGCCATGGGCTTGCAAGAGAATCTTCTGAGGGGCATCTATGCATATGGTAGATCCAACTTTATTTCCACTGTTTCTATATGCTGGCCGGTATTTTTTTATTGTGGGAGCATGAAGGAATTTACTTCCCTTAATTGATAACTGCAGCATGGTTGAAACTCACATTCAGGTCAGCTTGTGAGATCTAGCTCCAAATTCAACCTGATTGGTACCACCTTTTAAATAATCTCCTTAACGTGTGGCCAAGAAAAATCCTTTCTTGGAGGGCTTATAGGATATTGTAAAATATTTAGGAGGTGGCATACTTAATTGGGATGGTTGGGGCCCAGCAAACGTGCTTCTTAGGTTGAATGTCACTGGTGTGATTTTGTGCCGTGAAGTTTGGTTTACATGCTTCTCTCATTTGATGTTTTGGCCTTTTCCCTAAAGGTTGACTGGAATGCTGAAAGCCTTGTATTTTATTGTTTGTTCAAGGGTTTGAGAAGCCCTCTGCAATTCAGCAAAGGGGAATTGTGCCCTTCTGCAAAGGTCTTGATGTAATTCAGCAGGCACAGTCTGGGACAGGAAAAACAGCAACATTCTGCTCTGGAATTCTTCAGCAGCTTGATTATGGTTTAGTAGAATGCCAAGCCTTGGTTCTTGCACCTACCAGAGAACTTGCACAACAAATCGAGAAGGTTATGCGAGCACTTGGAGACTATCTTGGTGTGAAAGTTCATGCCTGTGTAGGTGGAACTAGTGTCCGTGAGGATCAACGCATTCTTTCAAATGGAGTTCATGTTGTTGTTGGTACTCCTGGTCGTGTTTTTGATATGTTGCGGAGACAGTCGCTTCGCCCTGATTACATTAAGATGTTTGTGTTGGATGAGGCAGATGAAATGCTTTCTCGAGGTTTCAAGGACCAGGTATATCCCTTGTGAATCTATGTGCCTCAGCTTCTGGTGCTAATTTGTGGATGTTTGTAATGATATGTTTATGCTGTTTCTAGCTGTTGCTTGGTCATTTGGCATATGCTTGTAAATATCTTATTGTCCTTGCATACTTTCATTGAGGTCAGGAAATATTTTGGAATGTCAAAGTTAGAATTTCCGCTTCATTTTTTCCTACAACTTTTATTGTGAAATTTGGCTCCTCAAGTGGCTATTACATTCATATGATGTAAAGGAACAGAGTTGGAGGTGAAAACAGAAATTTTTTTCCTTGACTTTTCTCTTTGGATCCATAACAGTTTAATTGGAGGTGAATGAAAACTACTTGGTTTATTGAAATAAAGAGACAAATTTGGAAATCCATAATTACACTGACTAGACTTACGGAACTTAAAGGCTTTCTTCGTTCTGTCTCTTGGCTTATATTTAGTATACTTAACTGTAATCTTTGTTTGCATTTACAATTTATATCTTTATAGCCTGCTTTAGAGTTGGTATTTACAACTTTTGGGGCCATTTCTTGTTGTAATAAAATTAAAAGCCAAACAGCTGGGACTACAAGGCCCTTTTTTGGAGTTGGGATTTTAAATAATTGTAAGCTAAGTTCGTGAATATGTGATTCCAAAAAAAATCCTTGTGCATGGATTGATTTCAGAGCCTACTCTTTATTCCCTTAGAATTTGTAGGAAGAAATACGTCAGCAACCTGGCCATGGATTCGGACTCTAGCGTTTAAATCACAAATTAAATGTGTTTTATTGGCATCGATGAAAACTATTATGTGCCTTTCTGTTTGGTCTTATGTCAGGTTTTAATTCCATAGTGCTATATTTCTAAATGTGTGATCGTTACTAGTTGACACTTTGTAGCGTTCTGGAGTTCTAGTTTAAGATTTCCGAGTGCCTTCAGAATGGCACTTGACCCATATATTTATATTCTGACGTGCATTTTTATCTGTCAGATCTATGATATTTTCCAGCTCCTGCCATCAAAAGTTCAAGTTGGGGTTTTTTCTGCTACAATGCCACCTGAGGCCCTTGAGATCACGAGGAAGTTCATGAACAAGCCTGTAAGGATTTTGGTGAAGCGTGATGAGCTCACTCTTGAGGGTATTAAGCAATTTTATGTCAACGTTGAAAAGGAGGACTGGAAACTTGAGACACTATGTGATTTGTATGAGACTTTGGCCATCACACAGAGTGTCATTTTTGTGAACACTCGACGCAAAGTTGACTGGCTTACTGACAAGATGCGGAATCGCGACCACACAGTATCTGCCACCCATGGAGATATGGACCAGAACACCAGGGATATTATCATGCGTGAATTTAGGTCTGGTTCCTCTCGTGTGCTTATCACCACAGATCTCTTGGCTCGTGGTATTGATGTGCAGCAAGTTTCTCTTGTCATAAACTACGATCTTCCTACACAGCCTGAAAACTACCTCCATCGAATTGGTCGTAGTGGACGGTTTGGAAGGAAAGGTGTTGCCATCAACTTTGTGACACGTGATGATGAGAGGATGCTGTTTGACATACAGAGGTTCTATAATGTAGTCATTGAGGAGCTGCCATCAAATGTTGCTGATCTCCTGTGATGAGTTTTGTTCGTGGTTTATATGAAGGTAAGACTAAGATGCTTTTTATTTGCCAAGTACTATTTAATGTTGGCTCTTTTATAGGTTTAGTGCCTTAATTAGTGTCTTTGAACTTATCTTACTGTCGAGTAAAATGGGTCCTGCACATTTGTAATGGGGAATTTATGATTGCCCATTTTGGGTGTGAATGGGGTATCTGTTGTTGCGAATTTTTTGTATCTTTTTTTTATTACCGAAAAGAGGTAGTTTGGATTGGTTCATTTTTTTCCTTTATTTATGCTTTGGTTTTATTTTTAATATGTTGAGAGGGGATACTGTGTAGAATGAAAACATGATTTGTTAATGTTGGATACAGGAATTCTCTTCAATATTGAATCTCTGCCTTAACGTTAATATTTTTTTTCTTCGACTAGGGATTCATTGAGGAATACAAGGTCAACTCAAAACTCAAAAGTAGGATCATCTTAGTTACCCGGTTTATTTTCGTTTTTTATTTTATATTACTTTTGGCATCACCATGGTGCTTGTGCTTATATGGGATTCCCCTTCCACCCGAATGAATCCCTTGAACTGAAAATGAGCATAACCGTGTCGCGTTTGGTCTTATAATGTGTTTTATCAGCAATTTTGGTGCTATGTGGAGCGTGGACAGTCTAAATTTGAAAGGAATTTATACCGTGATTTAATGGTGTTGCTTTTAGCGTACATTTCTCTCAGTTGCGAATTTGGGAACCCGCCGGCCACCGACGATACAATGGTGTGTCAAAGTCCCAGGTGAAGAGTAATGAATTAAATGGGTCAAAATGCACGACCTTAAGTAAAATCTTATCAGGTTAATTTTTCAGACGCCATTCAGAACGATTTGTTATCTAAATTCTAAAACGTCTGATTCTAAGAGATGGCCTTCGAAGTGACTTTTTTCCCCCAAGTTTAGTTTTTCCCCTTTTTTTTTTGAATTAAGCCCGTGGGCAATACAATTCATTTACCAAAATGAAAGCACTTGGTTAGGAGGCATCCTCCGCCTCCGCCAAGATGTTCAATACAAACAGGAGGAAAAAGATGCCAATGTTGTGAGTTAAAGAGAGTCAAACGTTGTCTTAGATGCAGGTTGGGGGTTCTATTAGAGGCAGTGTTTTCGAACTGCTGTTGATCTGGATGGTCAGACCTCATTCTGCCTGGGAATTGTCTAGGCAACCGGTTCCATTTTACCTTTAACCCGGTCTTTGATTCTTTGGTAAAAAATTGTTGATTTGGTCAGTTACTTGCTGATTTGGGTGGCAAAAACATCAATCCATTCAAACTGTTCATAGCTGATTTTTATTTTTAATTTATTTATTTATTTTTTTAGGTTGGAACAGACTGTTTGAATTGGATGGTTGAACCATTGACCTGGAAACTGGAAACTGATGGCCAGAATGGTTCTGGTTCTGGGTCGGTTCTTTAAACCTTTATTAGAGGTGAGATGGACCTTTGTGAATATCAATACGCCCAAAGTTCAAAATATTGATACGTCCGATACGCCGCTAGGGGTGTATCAGGTGAATCGATACTCATTTTTATTACTTTTTTTTTTTTTTGCATTCGGTTAAGGGGAGCCGGTTTAGGGATCCTCTACCCCCTGAACCGGTCAGACCTCCGATACACACACTATAGGGGCGTATCGGAGGGGAGCTGGTTTAGGGATTTGCTATCAAACTTGATTTTTTTTTTGTTTTTTTTCTTTTCCATTTTCATTACCATCGGGAGATGGCCAAAGTGATCATGCACCATCTGTAACACAGGAGTAAGGATGGTGGATCGTCCTTTGCTGTCTTCCCCAGAAAGAACTAAAGGGGTCGCGTCACCATACTTTCAGCTTCTACTCAGTCGACCAACTATGGAACATGAAGTCCCAACAAAACTAGCTTCTCCTTTACTCAAACTACCGTATCACATTTCACAACTTTTAGCTTTTTCTTCTTCCCTTTTTTTTTATATTTTTTGAAGTTGCGTTTCATACTTTAATTCGATAGTACGAAATGGATCTTTAAATAATATTATATTATATTTTCTGGAAGGAATTTCTCATGCATCCATCGTGAAGTCGTGATTGTGTTTGGTGTTCTCGCTCGTTCGTCTCCACTGTTAACTCTATTCTTCTCTACGCCATAGCAGTTGAAGAATCTATTATAGTTTTTGAAAAGGGGAGTTCAGATCTGCGCCCCACAACGTCCTACACCACATTCTCGCTGTGTATTGGAAACATTTCCCTATGATAGTATTAAAACTGATGATATCATTATTAGGAGGAGACCAGATCTGCTCCTCACACCTGGCACCTTACACGCACATCCTATTATGCATTAGGAACATCTCCCGTACTTTTTAGTGAATATTTATGGGAGATGTTCCCAAGGTGGATGTGCCTATGAGGCGCCCATTTGTGAGGAACAGATCCTGTCACTATCAGGAAATGTATCATGGAACATTATGGGGCGCAAATGTGAACTCTTGAAAGGGGTATAGTCTTGTGATCCACTATGGATTTGCTAGTCACAAAATGTTTTATGATTATACCCATGAAGCACTACTGTCCTTTATTGCAAACATCTCCCTATAAAAGAAAAGGGAAATATTTTTAATGTCCAACTGTAATGTTCTATGAGTAAAAATGTAGGAACAACTTGTGAGTAGCAGATCCGAATTCTTTGTGATCGGCTCAATTTAGCATATAAAGGATGGATTCTCATAAGATGGGCGATGAGGATTGGGTCCGGCTTCTCTTAAATTCAGTGGGCTCTAGGAGAATGAGATGGGCTTGTTTAGAAAAAACGGAGGATCATTGAATACAATATTCTCTAATCTATGTTAGTTTTGATGGGTAAATTTGGCAAAAAGCAAGCTAAATCTGATAATTTGATATTCTTTTTTCGTTTTTTTTTTTTTTTTGTAATCCAACAAATAATGGTAGATTTGTAGGTTTGAACTTTGAAGTTAGGACCCGCTTGTTGGTAAGGGGAGGGGGTGAGTATGGGTCTTATAGAAATTCATTTTTTTATGGGTAATTTTTTAGCAATTTACTTAAGAAAAATTGCTCATTTATTAGGGCTGAATTTAGTTATAACAAAATAATTTTCCAACAAATTTGAACATGATCTGTGTCCGTACATCTTACCATGAGAGTGGGGCCAATGGTAAGATGTGTGAACACAGATCATGTTAAAAGTATTTCGTCATCAGTAAATCCCAGCTCCCATTAAGTTGGAATCTCTTGTCAATAAAATACATTCCAACACTTTTATTAGCAAGGTTCAAAATATCGATACGCCTGATATGTCGGTATGGGCGTATTGGACGAATGAATACTGTTTCTTTTTTTTGTTTTTTTTTGTTTTTTTTCTGAAATCAGTTCAAGGGGGCTAGTTTAGGGCTCCTCCATCCCTTGAACCGATTAGACCCCCGATACACCAACTATAGGGGCGTATCGGAGGGGTTTCGAAATGATACGTATCGGTTGATACGAGCCGATACGTGTCGATACTTTGAACCTTGCTTCCTACATGATCTGACATGCGCATCTCACCATGAAACTTAGGCTAGGTCTTACCAAGGTTCAAAATATCAGCTGGTACGTATTGTTTCGACAAGAACCCAATACGCGGAATGTGTATAAATCATTCGTTCCATTTCTTTTTGTATGTATCAGTCGATACGAGCCCATATCGGGCTATTTCGGATCTGTATCAAGCGATACGGGCCTGATACATTCCAATATGGGCCTGAAATAGTCTGATACAGTTTGGATCCATATCGTTATTCGTCAATCCATATTTAATACCAAATCTGTCATTAATGTCATTTATTTAAGTCTAATTTCTCTTTCATTAATTATCCAATTACTCCAAGGCAAATTTAAATTTAAATCTTAACGCCTAATTCAAATTCTCTCATAAATTCCTTTAATTAATGATCCACTATCATTAATTTTATTTTGTTAGTGCAAAAACTTCACATTTTAGGCTATAGCAAGATTCAAACCTTGGTCACTTCATTTTAAGTTTTAACATCCACAAGTTCGCCAATGAGCCACACATATTTGTTTGCAATGATTATACATATTTTTTATTTTAAGTAAATTTTCACTTTTCTTAATGAGTGACAAGTTTTTATTAATAAATGCTAGAATTAATTATTAAAATTTATATACTAATAAATATTAATATTAATTATATTGGTTTTTGAAAATTGCCATTCACATTTTAGTTTTTCCATCATTTTTCAATGATTACTAATTGTGTCCCGATATATCACACTTTATATAAACCATTAAATTATGGATTTTTACATTTAAATGGCTTATTTACAATCATATAAAATTTGTAAATATAGTTAGTAATATATTTTTTAAGATTTATTTGAATTTTTATCATATTTATGTGTATCTTGATTTTTCGTTCGTCTCCATACGTCCTAAGCATATCCCAATACATCTCTTAAAATTATCTTTCCGATACACCTTGCGTTTCCGATACTTTAAAGCTTGGGTCTTTCTATAAAAGTTGAACTCATCATGAATGGGATGTGGTTGGAACTTATTCTATTGGTATGAGATTGGAGAGTTCACTTCCGTTAGGGCAACGCTCATTCTAGCAGCCCTTATAGCCTTGCATTGGGAATATCTCCCTACCCACGTGCTTTATTTCATGGGGAGATATTCCCAATGCAAGGTTGCAAGAGGCTGTTGGGATGGTGTGAGCATGAGTTTGCCCTAACCGAAGCTAATCTCAAGATCGGAACTCCTAATTGAAAGCACTTTGGATCTATTACCCACAAAATATTCCTACATCTATATGCACAGAACAAATGAAAAAAGAGATATTCTAAATGCATAACTCTGTGGGTAGGGGTGGCCTTGAGCTGAGTTGTTTACGAGCTGTTCGAGTTCGGCTTGACTCGGTCTAAACTAAGCTTCGAGCCAAACTCAAGCCAAATATATGGGCTCGTTTGCTAATCGAGTCGAGCTCAAGCTTAATACAACTTAGCTCGTGAGGCTCGCGAGCCTAGTCAAGTATATGTACATAGGGTGTCACCTTGGCTTGGGGGAAACCTTGGCTAGGCACCTCATCAACTGAGAGAGACATTGGCTCAACACCTCGACTACTAGGTATATATGCAGTCAGAGACAACTGAACTCGAGCCGAACCGAACTTGAACTTTTAAACTTTTGAATCAAACTCAAATCTCTAGTTCGAACCGAACTCAAACATAATAATTTATGATCGAACCAAAACTCAAATAAATCGGCTTGAATCCACCCCAATCCGTGGATAGGGATGTAAGAACAAATTGTGGGTAGCAGATCCAAGCCCAATTGAAAGGTAGGTGCTCGGAAGTGA